CAGCACAGAATTGCGATCCGTTATCAGTCACAAAGACTTGTGGGACACCTTCTCGACTGAATTACTTTCGTAGTACTCTCATCACGAACGACGTGGTTGGTGTGCTGGTTAGGAATACTTCCGGCCATTTCGAGTAGGAATCAATGAGTACTAGTGCGTGATCTCGTAGATCCGAATCACCACGGTAAACCATCATTTATGATTGGTTTCCATTCGTAAACTTGTTCGCACTTACTCCAATTAGAAGGTAAACTCTGGCCACTGCCTACCTAGTTCGCACAGCCGTCCTATTCGAGTCCCATTGGAGTCCATTCGTACCATAAACAGAACTCCAATGGGACTCGTATGGGACTCCCATAGGACTCGGACGGGACTCGGATAGAACTCAAATGGGACAGCTCCCGAAAGGACTGTCTTACATTCTATTAAGTGTTGCTTACATTTCTCCAAGCTCGCGCATGCTTACTTGCTTACGAACTACACGATATGTATCTAAATATAAATCCTACCAATTTTAGTTTATCGTGCATCATCCTAATCGTTGAATAACGAAATGAGCGTATAACGTTTACCGCACGAACGCGCTCTTTGTTGGCTGTCATTGTTGCACAAACGTAGAAGCATGTGCAGGTAACCCTTTGAAATTCACGGAAGTCTTCCAAGAATCCCTCCAGCGATCCGTAGCAATTTTGTACCATTCTTTCAAAAACGATCGTATCGTCAACGTGCGTCATGGTCGGGTTACGAGGGTTACGACCCCTGATTTCTACCCTAACACGCACATCCATGACTTCACAGCTCGCTTACGTGGCAAAACTATCTTCTCTATATTTGATCTGGTGCGTGCTTACCACCAGATACCATTTGACCCTTCTGGCATCGCAAAGACCGCGAGGATTACGCTGTTCGGTCTCTCTGAAGTCCTTCGCATGCCATTGGGCTTGCAAAATGCTTTTAAAACTTTCTAACACTTCATTGGCCATGTTTTTCGAGGCTTAGACTTTGTGTTCGCCTACCTCGGTGATACTCTCATTGGTAGCACCAGCGAAGCTGAGCATCTTACTTACTTACGTCTTGTCTTCAATAGGATCCGTCTCCACTGTCAAACCAGACAAGTGCGAGTTCGGCCGCACCTCTCTTGCCTGGAGCATACTATAGACCAGACTGGCATTCACCCTTTAGAATCCAAGGTTGAGATTATGTGTCGTTTCGCGGTTCCCGCTACGGTTTAAGAATTGCGACGTTTTCTGGGGTTGGTAAACCTTTGCCGTCGTTTCATCCCACGTTGTAGTCAAATCTGTCAGCCTATAACTGGTCGATTCCGCGGAAACCTTTAATCCGTCACTTTTAACGACACTGCCCTCCAGGCCTTCAATTTCGTTAAGGGGCACTTTCACAGGTTACACTTCTAGCTCACCACTCTCCGGACGCACTTCTTAGCCTGGCCTTTGATGCTTCAAACGTTGCCGCAGGTGCTGTCCTTCAACAACTCGTTCATAATGAGTGACATCCTTTTGGTTTCTTTTCTCGTCGGTTCTCGCAAGCCGCACAGCGCAATCGCCTTTTTTTGCTGTGAGCTGTTAGCTATGTTTCTGTCAGTGCGTCACTTCCGACACGTTCTTGTGGGACGTGAATTTACTATTTTCACCGATCATAACCCTCTGACTTATGCTCTGAAATCTAATATTGATAAGTATTCACCCCGGGAGGTCCGCCAGTTATACTAATTATCTCAGTTCACAACTCATATAACAGACACTTCTGGCGCTGCAAATGTCTTGGCCGATTTCTTATCGCGGCTCAACTTAGTTTCAGAATTGCCGGTCATTGACCTAGAACGCATGGCGGCTCTTCAACCAGCTACCCCACCTTTGGATCCTTCATCATCTCTAGAGCTTTGTAGGCTCCCTTTGCTCACTTCAGACAGCTCGTTTCTTTGTGACGTCTCGCATCAGGTACCTAGACCTCTGGTCCCGGAACCTATGCGACGACTCGTGTTTGACGCCCTACAAGGGTTATCACACCCTGGAGTTCGTGCCACTCAGAAATTAATTAGTCAACGGTACGTTTGGCGTCTATGAATAAAGACGTGACCTCTTGGGCTTGCACCTGCGAGGCCTGTCAAAAGGCCAAAGTGTATCTCCACACCTAAACCCCAATTGGTAGTTTTGTATCACTTAATGAGGGGTTTAGCCACGTTCATCTGGATATCGTAAAACCCCTGAAGCCCTCAAACGATTTTTTCTGTTCTCACTTGCATCGACCGTTTTACCCGCTGGCCGGAAGCAATTGTGATTCCCAACGTTTTTACCGTCACCATTGTGAAGGCTTTTGTTGAACGGTGAAATGTTCAGTTTGGTTGCCCAGCAACTATTACCACCGACCGCGGACAACAGTTTGAATTTTCATTATTCAGTACTTTGACCGCGTATCTCGGTTCTCGTCATGTGCACACCACCGCCTTTCACCCTGTGGCAAACGATTTAGTTGAGATATTTCACTGTCAGCTCAAGGCGGCTCAAACCATTCGCTTCCCACTACCGTGGGATGAAACTCTACCCGCAGTTCTTCTTGGTATTTGCTATTCTCTTAAAAATGAACTTAAATGCACCGCAGCCGAGTTAGGTTTTGGAACCACTTTGCGTCTGTCTGGAGATTACAATTCTCCTACCACCCTAGAGAATTTGACAGACATAAGTTTCGATGAGGTTCAGCGTACCCTCGAAGAATTGGCGGCTACGAAGGCTGTAGGCCCTGATGGGATTCACCCAGCTGTTCTGAAACCGCTGGCGGGACAGCTAGAATCGCCCCTGAGTAACCTCTTCAACGCCTCTTTAGAGACGGGTAGGCTACCGGAGGATTGGCTACTGACAACGGTCGTCCTAATCTACAAGGGGGGAGTTAAGGAATCGTGCTCGAACTAGCGACCAACGAGCCTGACCTCAGTAGTGCTAAAGGTAATGGAGAGTCTTACGCGACAGGGTAGCCCACCATCTTTGTCGTTAATGGTCTGCTCACAGCAGACCAACGCGGTTTCTTGAGGAAACGGTCATGCCTGTCCAACCTGCTTTGTTTCTTAGATAAAGTGACAAGGCGCATTTATCGAGGGGAACGGGTAGAGGTTTGTTACCTCGAATTCGCCAAGGACCCTGCTTTAATTTCGCCGATGATGTGAAAATCGTCGGGTCCGCTCCAGGAGAGCCGATGCGGAAAGACTTAGACAAGGATCAGGAATGGTCGGCGAGAAAGAACCAAATTTCGGCACGATAACATGAGTTATTCCGGGTGCTCTCAATCGGCTGCAATGACAATTAGGGTTCAACAACAACAAAGATATGATAGATTATCGAACAAATAAACACATCAATTGGATCAATCACAGAACAGGGTCAAAGGTCACAGTCAACCACGGCGAGTGAACATATGACGGGATTTAGTCCTACCAGGGCAAGGCAAGACTGGCCACAAAGTCTAATTGTTTACACAAACTGGAGTTAAGCCGTCTAATGGCGGAGGCTTCATCAAAGTGAAGTAGACGAAGGTGTTATTATCTACTTATGATCCTAAAAAGACTTTCTAGGCTCTACGCACAAGTTGCGACCTAATATGTGACAAGAAATAGGAACTTTATTTCTCTTCTGGGCTAGATTCTTCAGAATGTGTTGGAAAATACTTACGGACAGCCTTCTCTCATTTTCTCAAACGTACTTGCTACCGCAAGTACACTCGAATAGATAAATGCAAGAGGGGGTAACTTAAGGGTCGGGCTTGTCCAAATTTTATTCCACGAGAAGACGATTGGTTTTGTGCAGGATGATTAGTGAGGCTGCATGAAATGTGCTGTGGGTTATTTGTTTTATGCGTCGCTGAAGACGTCGGTCATTTTCGTCTTCTTTGAATGGGATGGTCAAGTAAATATTTTTAGGGTCATTGGGTATTTTCTGCTTGATTGCGGTGTCATGTTATCCTGCTGAGATGTGGTTCCTCCTCGCCGTGATTACTTTGTTTAAGAGAACTGGATGTGTGAAACTTCCTCTAGATGCCCGAAGGTGACCTCAATGGAGAAGGAGAGCACCACGGTAAGAAATTCATTGGGCCACCCAAACAACAGGTCTAAATAGCCTCAGGGTCCTCCACACGAGACTCAGCAGTGAGTATGACCTCAAACGTCCTCCACATGTTGCAGTGTCCAAATGCTGTGTGGAAAGCATCTGGAGCCCTTTATCAGCTCCAACGTGCAGTAGCGTCCAGGAGGTCGGAGGTTCTCTTACTCCTCCACAAAGCGTTTTTACAGCCACACCTCGAATATTGTGTTCAGGCATGGGGGCCGTTCTTGGTTAGAAATATCAGGGTGCTAGAGAAGGTTCAAAGGCCCTTCACAAGATGGTTTCGATGGATAAGAGTGCTCTCGTTTGAGGGGAGATTGGAGATGCTGCACCTCTCCTCATTGGGGAGGCGGAGGCGGCGAGGCGACCTCATCGACTCGTTTAGGATCCTTAAAAGGATCACAGACCTAGGAGGTGGTTCCCAGAAGCTGATGAAGATAAGTGAAACCAACTCACTCAGATGGAATGCATTGAAACTGGCAAGATATAGGGTAAATTATAGACTGAGGGTGACATGCTATCCGGTGGGAGTCCTGAATGACTGGAACAAATTCCCAATTAGAGCAATGCAATTAGGAGAGTGCACCTGGTTGGAAGGTAGAAACCACAATCCCCGGAAGAACCATAGGCGCCAGCCAGACCCGTACTAGTAGAGTTTGATAAACTCCTGAATGTGTCGGCTACTATCCCGAGCATATTTGGTGTACAGCTCCACTAAAGTGCGATTCAAAATCCTCCTCGATGAACCACAAGTGCGGATGCCAAATGGGAGACCGAATACTTACATGACAGGGCGCGAAAGCACTAGGGCTCCGCTAAAGCAACTGCCAAAGGTACCACGGGTCTTAGCAAACTCAAATGTGGTAATGACTGAGGACATCTTGGAGGACCTCACGTGAGAAATGATCCTCAAATCGGATCGGACAAAACCGACCCTGAACAGTCTATGTTGTCTCAGGGACCCACATAGCTTTCCAAGCTTCCCGAGCTAGAGGAAACGGTGGTCGCAGCAGCGCTGGTACTCTAGCCCAGCCAAAAGCGGATTGTCTACTCGGGTGGTACGCCCGAGGGGAAACTCCGGGTAAATGAAAAGCACTAGCTAGGGGGTAAGGAAGCACTGGTACTATTGTATGCAAAAGCATGTAGTATTAGAAACACATCGGCAGAAATAGCTACAGTAGCTGCGGGCACGATGGCCGACGTACTTGTCCTGTCTGAAACGTAGTTAACTCAGGATGACCACATACCCGAACCAGTCTTAAACCCGTTCACTAACCACAGACAGGACAGGAAAGGAGGTATATTGGGGAAGGGGTGGAGTCGCCGTGCTAGTCAAACAGGATTTACTCCACCATGAAGAAAAGATAGCGCACTGCACTCGGAATTTGCAGCTATGCTTAAAATCATTGGTTCTACCTTCAAGGAGGGTTAGAATGGCAGGAGTCTACAGAAGGCCGGAATGCACACCCGAGGAGGACCAGACACTCACAATGCGTTTTTATAGGAGGAGATTTCAATTTCCTAAAAATAGACTGAGATGTTGGGGGGGCGTCGACAGGAACACCTGAGAGCGCATTCCTAGAGTGGATGCACTCGAGGGCCCTGCAACCAGTCCGGGAATGCACTGGATACAGAGAGAGAGATAAGCCGTCCCTTCTGAACGCGATAATTACGATGAGGGAGAGGAATCTGATTAGCATCACCCTTCATCCACCGCTAGGCAAAAGCGATCACGTGAATATCACTACAGAACTTCGACTAATGCACCGTAAAAGTAATATTATAATGTCTAGGAGCCACTGGGCGATTGATGCAGCGAAGATTAAAGTTCAAGCTGGGGAGCTGGAGTGGTTCCCCAGCCTGGAAAACGATACACCAGCACTGGAGACTATCGATGAGCCCAAAGTGCTTCAGCAACAGGGCAGTCAAATTCAAATTCAAGTATCAAATTTCATCACGTGAGGAGGCCTTCGCCTGTGAAGTGTCCTGGTAGTGGCGTTTTCTGTCCTGGGACTGACCTGCCTGCGAGTTGGTATTGTTATCGGTTTGAACATCTCTATCAGGTTTGCTTGTAGTCTGCGTCTTCCGAGGGGAAGAGGTTTAGTGTTAAGAACCTTTTTCTGTAGCTCAGCTGCCTCATTACCCGTACCATTCTGGTAGCGGCCTTTTGGACTTGCTCCAATCTCTGGATATCCTTACGGAAAAATAAAGCCCACGTTTGAACACAGTATTCAATGTGAGAACGGACGAAGGCTGCATATAACTGGATGAAGACTCCGGCGCTTCTGTTTGTTATGGCGGTTTTAAGACAGAACATTGCTTTAAGGGCCTTTACAGTTGCTGCGTCGCATGCTGCAGAGGGGGGAAATTGCATGTTACTCTAACCCCTAGGTTTGTCGTATTGTTCTTCGACAGCAGGGTTTCTGGAATCCCAAGAGGGTTGGTGACGAAGATTGGAAGACCTGCCACGCCTGATAGAATGTGGCTCTCCAGTGCGTTGAGCGGTAAATCTCATTCTGCTGATTATTCACATATTTTGTGGATATCAGCTTGGACGGTGTCTAGTTGGCTGATGGTTCCCATCAACTTAACGTCGTCAGCCTAGAGGAAACAGGGATTTTCAAGGCCTTCAGTGGTATTGTTCACGAAGATGAGAGAGTAAGTATGCAAGTATCCAAGCTTGGGGCAATCCGCTGGTAAAAGAACCAGCATCCGAGTGAGCCTCCCGGAATTTAACGGTGGATGATCGATCGGAGAAAAGGTTTTCTATCTTGTCGCATAAGACCTTGGAAATTCCTGTTTTTCTAAGTTTGAAGATCAGTGGTCCGTGGTTCATGGAGTGGAAGTTGTTTTGGAAATCTAAATAGCATACTTTGATCAGGATGCCTCTGCCTGATCTGTTCCTGATAACGTCCAGGAAGGCAAGGAGAGTTGAGAGACAGGGTTTGCCCTTTAAGAATCCGTGTTGTGCGTCGCTGAAGAAGCCTTTGTTGAATGGAACGGAGCATACCTTGTCTCTTACGATGTGCTCAAACGTTTTGATTATCAAATTGGTTAGGCTAATAAGTCTGTAGTTTGAAATACTGGACCTATATCTATCTTTGAAAACGGGAATTATGGTTGCTTTCTTCCAGTCTGAAGGTATGGCTCTCAGGGAGAGAGACATTGAATAGGGAGGCTAGTTCAGGGCTTAGTAAGGAGCTGACCTGTCTGATGATGGAAGTATGGACATAATCAGGATCAGAGGATTTGTTTGGATTGACGTTGGACAAGGCCGTATCTAAGTCCTCTGGGGTATTGAAGACGTCAGGCATATCGCATAAATGGTTGTTGGTGGACTGATATAGGTTACTGTCGGTTCTGTGCACGCTAAAGAAGTACGAGAGAAAGACGTTCGTCAGCTGTTCATCATCCGTGGCAAGCAGGTTGCCTTGCACTGTTAGTATGTTGCCGAACTCTCTCCTTGTAGAAGACCTTGCTTGTACGTACCCGAAGTAACGTTTTGGATTCAGCTTGACGTCTCTTGCGATACTAAGTTCATATGCCTATCTAGAGTTTCTCGAAATCTCGATTGATTGATTCCTCAGGAGTTTGTATCTTATATATAAGGTGAAACTCTTAATATTGATTTAAGTATTCCAAGCTAATCGTTTCCTTTCCAAGGCTTTGCGGATCCTGGGTTTCCACCACGGCTTGTTGCTCCGCGGGCTTCCTACCCTCAGTGGGACGTGCTTCTCTGGTAGGAGAGTTATGTTCCTAAGCAAGAAAGCCCACCTATCCTCTGCATCACCAATGCTGGACCAGTCCATCTCCCTTGCTCTGTCAAGTAGTTTTTCTACCTTGACAGCGTGGAAATGCGGGGTCCTCAGCTTAGGCCTTGGGGATGCCATTTGTCTAAAGAGAAAGTGTACCGGGCAATGGTCACTTTCCCCTGTTTGTCGAAGGGATTCCAACTGACAGTGCGGTATAGGGGTGGCGCGGGGTAGGTCGGTGATCTCGTCCATCTTGTTGAGGAGACTGCAGACGTTGATTAACGCGCCTCTAATTCTCTGTGGGCCTTGGCGTCTGTTCGGGGGCGAGTTTACGGCTTCCAAAGAGTGGTTCTCCGAGGAGTTCCCACGTTCTTTTGGTTGAAGTCAGCTGATTTTGCACTCCGAACTGGCTCCTGTGGTGTTCAGGTTGGCCTGGAGAGATGCCGAGTTCGATCAGGTCCGCAATCTGGGCCACGGTCGTCTGCACGCAGACGGTCGATTTTGACCAGTAATCAAGGTGGGTTTGTTGTAACCTTTGAGGCGGGTGTCTTTTACAAGGTGAAACCAGGATCAATGGATATATTTTTCATTGCTGCTGCGATCACCAACGCTTCAAAGAGGACAAAAGCTGGATCCTTAGAGGGCTGGAATTCCGCGGGCAGGGGACGTACTGCTATCGCGCAGTTGTCGTCTGGGAGTGATCCATTTACCCACTCTATATGCTGGCCTCGACTGAAGGCGAGGATGACAGCCCGCATTCCTTACAACACTGTGAATAAGATTTTTTCCCTTTTTGAGCCTTTTTGAGGTTACACGAATGAAAGGCTTTGGGGCTCTGATCAGAATGTTCCTTGTTCCGCCCAATACATGTTTGTAGGCAGACTGGAGTATCTTTACTTCGGTTATTTGTTTTCGTAAGTTGATCGAGAGTTTTTCCAATTGGCTTTCGTGCTGCAAAATGCGAGCGAGAAATATTTCCATGGGAGCTCATTCATCTGGGTCTTATAAGATTAGTCTTTGCCAGCAGGTCGGATATTTCTGGGCCTTTTGCATGGTGAGATCGCTGTGGATGGGTTCACTGGCGAGCTGCTTAGTTTCTCTTGTCTTGGTTTTTGGGTGCATTGTACAGCACTTTGCTGCTGACCGTTTTATCCTGTAAATGGGCCCATGATAGTCTTGTCTTTTAATTGCGGCCTCGGCTGGTTCTTGGTTTTGTTGTGGAATACCTGTTGCAGCTTTGAAAGACGTTTTTTACGCACTATTTCCACCCAGGGACCGTCGTGTAGTGAGGTCGGGTGAGCGACTGGTTCACTTGGTGGGATCTGTTCTGTCCGCGACATTTCCAGGGAGACGTGTTTTGGCGTCGTTTTCTGCTCCTGCCGTTGGGCCGGTTCTTACGTGGTTTATTTTCCATGATGGTTGTATTTTGTCTCTACAACGGTACGGTTGTTATGGGAAACTGTGTTTAAGTCACGAGGGCTGGCTATGTTCCTCCATTCAATTGGTGGTGACACTGGTTTCAATTGCTTGCGACTGTGAACTCTTTGGGGGCTCACGATGTGAGTCTTTAGTGTCCAATGATCTATTGGTTCCTTCGGGAGCAATAATGTGGCCTTTTGTGCAAGGAGTGTAGTCTGAGTAGCGTTGCTTGCTCGGCCCGGTGGTGAATTGAACGTGGTAGAGCTTGCACGTAACGTCCGCATATCACTGCCGTTAGACGAGGGGTTCTGGCTGCCTTTTGGGGCAATTTAAGCGATCTCTTTGCAGCTTTTGCAGATCCACAGACGATACTCGTAGGTACTATAGGGCTTATAGAGTGCGTTTGAGAGTTGTGAGCCAGTTTTATGCGTACAGCTCGCAGATGTTACATTCTATACCCGATATAACGCGCCCCCTACATGACCCTTTAAGGCATGGAAATGAAACATGCGGTATGATAATACTACAAACGGTATTCAAATTAGTTCAAAACATGTGTCAAAACCCAAATAGGGTAAATCAGATGACATAAAGCGATCACGCATTCAAGACTAGCAAAAGCGTTAGGCCCAAGAAGAAGAGAGTCTCGCGTGAATGAACAGAAGGTAAGCCCAAGAATAGGGCTTTTAAACTTCAATTAAACGCGTTAATTAGTGGGACCAAGGTTTCAGTTTGTCAGTGGAAGTAACAATTCAAAATTTCAAACCGCGTGCGGTCAAGGTTAGGCCATGGAAAAGGTTATCACGGGAGCTGATAGAGGTGGGGAAAGTAAATGCTTTCAAGACGGAGTTCGACAGGCGCTGGTTAGAATTATTTTCCGAACTAGACGCGTAGGGCTTCAATTTAATTCTCGGTTTTCTTGTTTACTTTCCCCCAACAAAGGAACGCTTCCAAATGAGAGGTCTCTCGCCTGAACAACAAGATATATTTTTCTTTTGTCCCTCTTCCCTGCAGAAAAAAAGACAAATACAGAGTCGGGACTATTGGTCGCAAGCCTCAAACCCGAGTACTACTTCAAGACTACAAGACTCCCTTGTAGAGGCGGAAACGACTGGAACGAGCAGAAAACATAAAGAACCACAATATAGAACACTTACGGCGATAGGGGCCAACACGAGGCTTACTACCGAAGGAACTCTGGACGCTCGATTGGCCGTGGCCATCTCCTGTGCTGTTTAACATGACCTGACCTGAACTAAACTGAACCTAACTGAACAGAATTTGAGGCATTGACCAGCGCTGCACCAAGTTGTGTCCGCCATCATCGTGGAAGATATGTTTCTGTGTTTTTTGGATTTCCTCCTGTGGATTTGCCGTGAAATAGTGTGCAGTAAGGACGCTAAGAGGAACTCTCCGTGCGTGAAGTGCAAGAAGACCGTCGCCCTCGCGCGAAGGCCTTGTTATGTGATTTGTACCAATGTTGGCATCATGTTGCATATACCAGCACACTGCTAGACATGTATACAGCGCTCCAGTTGTGTGATTTCTCCAATTTGAAGTTTTGTATGTGGCAATTGTCTTCCCAAATTCCCCACACCGAGTGTCGGCGAGGGAGTACAGCCCCTGCCGACCTCAAGTTGATTTTACGATCCAGTTTTTATCAGCTGAAGAGCCGTTAAGTGCCACTGCCGGTGAACAGAGAATACGGAGACGCAGGCATAAAGCCAATAACGAGCGACCGGCCTTCGGTGAAAGCCGCGCAGCGACAGCGATCGATTCTGGATCCCAGCGCCTACTTCCCCCACGCTAATTTCGCCACCGCTGGCGCCACCAACTTCGTCGTTGAGCACCAGATCGTATACCCGAGTTGCTGCTGCCAAACGCGCCTCCAGCAGTGCTGTAATTAGCAGCACTGAACACCCCGTGACTCAGATTGCTTCCCGAGTAGCCTTCAACCCCGGGCAAGTAGCCCGACCGGCCGTTGCAGGAGACCAGCCATGAGAACGCCCCTCAAAACAGCAATGCTTCCTAGCTGCCAATATGCTGGAGTCCACGGAATCCACGGCGCAAGCCCGGCTTAATGTACCCATTTCCTTGCTTCGAGGATTTTTGGTCAAGCTCCTCGTCCCTGGCGAGGAAACTCAGATCCAGGCTGGGAGCCAAACGGGAGGGCGGTGGCCCCCATCCAGTGAAGGTCATTCTTGGGTCGATCGAAGAAACCGACAGGTGCAACCGTGCGTGCATTGTGTCCGCCAATGTACGCAGTGTCCTGAACAAACGAGACGAGTTAGAGACGTTTGTTATGGAGCACTCCCTGGTGGTAATCACCCCCATCGAAACCTGGCTTACCCTAGACGTCCTCGACTCTGAGGTCTCTATCTCGGGTATGCGTCATTCCGAACGGATTCCAAGGACCTTCCCGCAGTCGTGAACCCATTGACCCTGCGTCAGCACTCCTGAGAGCCCTCCAGGATCAACGATTCTGCCCAGTCAGTCCTTGATCCGGTGTTATCCCCTCCAAAATTGGACATTGGCGCCATTGACCACCTCTCTCTACTCGGTTTCAGCGATCATTCGACCCTGTTGGTGCACTGGTGCCGTGGAGCTCCGTATCGCCCTTAACCACATTCCGGACCCAATGTCTGGAAAGCGGACTATGATGGCATAAGATCGCAGCTCATTCCCTTCCCTGGATAACTACCTGCCCTCAGAGAGTCGATCTCGCCTGGACTACCTTCCGGGACGACATTCTCGAATTGGGGACGGCTTTTTCTCCAGCTTGACGCTTCCGGTCACACACTATGGGCCTCCCTGGTTATATGACGAGTTCCGTCAGATGCTTAGGCGTCCAAACAGAACGCAGAAAGCGTCTTTTGCACATTGATCTAACTATGACAAATACATGGTGCTGCGTAATGCTTGCTCTGCAATGAAATCCAGAAAACGGTGGTTGTAGGAGGAGTCCCTGGCATCTGCAGCAGCCACTATGCCGAAGCGTTTCTACGCATATCTCCGTAGCCTCAAGCGTGCAACATTTGACATACCACCGCTGAAGATTAACGGTGCCCGGGCAGAAACGGATGTTACCAAGGCGGAAGCTTTTGCGCAACACTATGCGTCCACCTATACTACTGATACATCACCGAGCCCCCGACTGTCGTGCTCTGCGACTCTGCTGTCTTGGCAAGCCATCTCGGTAGACGAGGTGCGTGACGCACTTTCGGCTCTGAAAGCATACAAATCACTGGGTCCTGATGGACTGCATCCCATCGTGCTGAAGGAGTTGGCGCTGATCTTTGCACTTACCTTTGCCGTTTTGTTCGGAAAATCATTACCCGAGGGGAGGTTGCCCGCCGACTGGAAGTCTGCTGTCGTACGCCCTCTGTTCAAGAGAGCAGCCCATGTTTCCCCGTCAACTAGCACGACTCCGAGAACACCTCTTTCCAAACAATTTTCTGTGCCCGGAGCAGCATGGGTTCCGTCCGCAGCGATCTTGCATCTCGAATTTGCTACTTGCTCGGGAGCAATGAGTGTTTGCCAAGGTCGCTGGCCACGAAACGGACGTCATGTTCATTGGCTGCAGGAATGCATTCAACAAGATGCCATACGAACGGTTGCTGGAGAAACTAATGGCTCGCGGTGTTGCAGACTCACTACTACTCTAGATTGAGGATTTCCTCGTCAGGCGGATGTTTACTGTCAGAGTTTCTCAGACCAAGTCACGTCGCTATCCTGTCACCAGTGGAGTGCCACAGGGTTCTGTTCTAGGACCTGCAATGTTCTCTTCGTGAATGACCTACCCTCCCAGTCAAACTCATCTTGCCTGCACTATGCGGATGATGTGAAGCTATGGAGAGCCATGAGAACACCGGAGGACCACTATGCCCTTCAAGATGATTTGGACAAGTTACAGCCCTGGGCTGACGTCTGGGAACTTCCAGTGAACCCGGCGAAATGCGCTCATATGCGCCTGGGACGGAATACACCGGACATTCCTTGTCTGGTGAACAACGTCCAACTGCGTTCGCGGCTAACGAGCGGGATTTAGTAGCCATCGTGTCCTCATCCATTAGGACCAAGATAAACACCGTGCGAGCGTGTTCTGTGACAAGGAGCATGCCAGGTGCAATCCGTTGGTCGTTTGACGGCCTGTCGTTCATGGCCTTCAATAAGCCGTTTGCCTCTCATGTTCGCTTCCTGCTTGAATACGGTGGACCCACTGTATAGCCCTGCACGCTTTCCGAAATGGCCAACTTGGAAAGGCTACAGCGCTACGCCACTCGCCTAGTCGTTGGACTTTGCGGGATCAGCTATGAAGGTCGGCTCCAGGCACTTGAACTCTACCCGGTTAGCTACAGGAAACTTCACGGGGATTCCATCTATCTGTGGAAGATTCTTAATGGCGATCCCAGACCGGAACTACGTGCTATGTTTCCACTGCGGGACAGCAAACCGACCCGCGGCCACAGACTCATTCTCCGCAAGCTGGAGTAGACGGGGATTCGTTTTGTCTATCGCCTTTCCCGGAGGGCTGCTTCACTCTGGAATTCACTCCTGTCGGAGGTGGTGGAGGAGCAGAACGAGACACGATTCAAACGCCGTCTCAACGAGCACTGGGTGAGACAGCGGAAGTTTGCAGACCAATTGGCGGATTGCTACCGGTACCAGCGCTGAAGATGCTCCTACGGGGCGCGCCCCTTTGCACTCTATACATGTCTACATATGTCAAATCTAAACAAAATACTCAAGAAATGGTTGGTACATTAGAATCGTCGACAGGAGAAGTAGCAGTGAGTGAAGGTGATAAAGCACGTACCCTGTTACACTTCTTCAAAGCACGTACATAATCCCCGGGGTGACAGATAACCTTCCATCACTCGAAGGTAACAGCACCAGGCCCCCAATCACTGTGGAAATTCAGGATGTGCAGCGGGAGTTGGCCGGGCTCAATAGGTATAAGGCAGTGGGCCCGACGGAATTCACTCAGCTATTGTACAACTGTTGGCTGATGTAATAGTGGTACCGATCTCCGAATTAATTAAAGAGTCGCTTAGATTGGGAACTGTCCCGAACGATTGGCGCAAAGCCACGGTAGTGGAAATAATCAAGTCTGGATCCCGGCAAAAAGCCGAGCATTACAGAGCAGTAAGATTGACGTCAGTAATATGTAGGTGTATGAGGCGCCTAGTTAAAAGGCAAATATGCCACTACATGGTCAATAGCGGACTATTGGTATCAGCTCAGTACGGATTTGTCGAAAAGAGATCTTGTCTGACAAACCTGCTGGTGTTTCTAGACGAGGTCACACATGTAGAACTGATGAAGGCTTACCGGTGAAGATATGCTATCTGGACTTTTAGAAATCATTTGACTCGGCCAGCCACCATCTGTAAGATCATAAGACCCCATTATTGAGAATAGGTGGGCAAGTCATGAGCTGAATAATGGGCTTTTTTGCACTGCGGACGTTTAGTGTCAAAGTAGGAGCTCACAGATCCGAGAAGGTGTTTACAAGTGATGTACCTCAAGGATCAGTACTAGGATCACTAGTGTTCCTGCTCTACATTAACGACCTAACACAGGATCATCAAAATCCCTGTTTTCTGATTGCAGAGTGTTAAGATACCTGGATGGGACCTAGCAAGGAACATGAAGGTAGTACAAAGATGGGCCGAACAGTGGGACCTACCACTAAACGTCTCAAAACGTCAGATACTGACGACCAGAAATGACGAAGAGACAGCACGGAGCCTGTCGATACAAAGGGTGCACGAGGCAAAGGATCTAGGCATAGTGGTAACGCGAAATTTCAAACGCAGCACTCAATATGTAAATGCCGCAAACAATGCCAGGTGACAACTGTTTCGTCTATGATATGCGAAATTCCGGGGTCTTTGTCCCGTTATATAAAAGCATCGTCCGCCCGCGTCTGGAACATTGTGTGCAGGTATGGGCTTCGTTCCTCTGAAAGGACGTCGATATCTTAGAGAGTGTTCACCTTTTAGTCAGGAGTCTTGATGTCTTGAAATTACTCTCGGGTTCGAGGCTGGCGTCCAATAGTCCTAGATCATTGGATTATCCTTTGATGATAGCTGGGCAACGGGGAAAGAGCTATGAAAAGCGGCTAAGAGATTTAAATCTGTTCTTTCTCAAACGGAGGCGGATGAGAGGAAACCTCATCGAGACATTTAAGGGTATATCAGGGTATCAGGGTATATCAGGCCTTAGGTTTGACAACCTGTTCTCACAGGTTCCCCATTGAGGTACGCGGGGACATAACCTATGTTTGCAGCGAAGCCACTCTAAGCTGCAACTAAGGGCAACGTGTTTCACTAACAGGTAATTCCGTTGTACAGCCGGTTGTCGCTGGCAATGGTAAGCTGCAGTATGTAGATGCGTTTAAAAGGCACTTGATGAGTGATGGATATCACTTTCCCCTGAGGTAAGCGTTTAATACCACCTATAATCTAACCACAAAGGAAGTGATACTGCACCACACTATTCTGTCTTTCAGAAAAATTGCATATGGAAGTATTGGAAGCCAAAGAAACTCGCCGACAACACACGAATCTGGACGCTCGTTTGGCAAGAGCCACAAATCGTTATGTGAGAACTGAATGAAAAGACCGTGGCGCTCCGGGTAGCGTTCGGGAGGGTTTACCAGAGAGACAGGAGTAGAGAGGTCCTCACCCTTGTACCAGCCGATCTACCACAGATGGCAAACCCGCCTATCACCCGACTGGAGGTAGAAAACATCCTGAGCACATATCGGAAAGGCTGCCGATCCAGACGGAATACATCCAGCAATATTGAAACCTATTGCAGGGATAGTTGCAGAACCGTTAGCTCGGTTTTTCAACCGGTCAATCTCAACGATACCTTCAGACTGGAAACAAGCCGAAGTCATCCCGATCCGCAAGGGAGATACCAGGGAAGAGGAGTCAAACTACCTCCCAGTAAGTCTTCTATCCCTACCACTCAAGGTCCTGGAGAATGTACTTCGGAATCGGCTCAGCTCACATGTAGCAGAGCATGGTTTACTTGCTGCGTGCCAGCATGGATTCAAGAAAAAGAGGTCCTGTCTCATAAATCTGTTTTCCTTCCTTGATGAAGTCACGGGTAGAATCGGTCGGGGTGAGACAATTGAGGTGTGTTATATGGACTTCCAAAAGGCCTTCGACTCAGTTATTCACCTTTACCTCCTAGCTAAGATGAGAGCCCTCAAAATAAACGAGGGGATCCAACAATGGACTGCTGCCTACTTGGGGAACCGATTCTTTTACGTTAGGGTAGATGAGGAGTGATCTAGGCAGGAAGGCGTCTCCACCGGTAGAAAACTGGTGGACTTGATGACAGTGCTACCTCTGATGTAGCACGTCAATCAACTCACTAGATGACGAGAGGGGCAAAGGCCTAGCATGTTGAACCTAGTTCTGTCCAAGATGCCGTAGGATGTGGAACAGCTCGGGGTTCCTGCTCCCCTAGGGCGTAGTGACCATGGAATACGTAGGTTCCACATCAGGGGAAACCCTCCACCGGTCCCACAAGCTCAGGAGGGACTATAGGAAGCTGGATGTCCTGGTGCCCAGGCAAGCAGCATAGGTAATCCAATGGACAACAGATGGCTTCCACACCGTGGAGCAGGAGTAGCAGTCATTCAAAAACAGCATCACCCGGCTTACGGACGTTTTCGCTCCCCTGAGAAGAGTCAGAAGAGGAGGCCGTCCGCCTTGGTGGGCAAAAAAGGTAGTCAGGGCACAAGCCATAAAGCGGAAGACTTGGAACTGTCTCAGGAACAGGGGTGGCCATCGTCAGCACCTGAGTTATAGGACGGCGAGAGAAAGGGCAGTTAGGACTCAGAGATACTGCGAAAGGGAATACGAAAGTAGGATTGCTCGCAATGCCAAACAGCCACCAAAAACCTACTAAAACTATGTGCAATCTAAGGCTCACTCTAGGGTTGCGGTTGGTAGGGAAGTAAATGCATACGGTGTCAGCGCAGCCTCCAGCAAGAAGAAGGCTGAAGTTCTAAAGAGCGTCTTCGAGAAGGTCCACTTAACGGACCTGACCTTGCCTGACATTCTACGTAGACTCCCCGAACAGCGCATGGCCCCGTTTGGCTTAGAGGCAAAGGAGGTAGAAGCAGCACTGAAACAACTAGATCAGAACAAGGCCGCGGGCCCGGATGGGCTGCATCCAGCAATACTGCGGTCCATTGCTGACATTATTGCAAGTGCGCTTACTCAGCTTTACAACCGATCCCTTACCTCTGCAAAGCTGCCGGCCGACTGGACCACGGCAGAAGTGGTGCCAATCCACAAGGGAGGGTCAAGGGCGGCTGCATCGAAGTATCGTCCAGTAAGCCTGCTTTCGGTTGCCTTGAAAACCTTTGAGCGGCTCCTCAGGGAGAAGTTAGTGGGTTACTTGGACGACCAACACCTCATAGCTGGCAAACAACACGGCTTTGTCAACGGAAAGTCGTTTTTCACTAACCTATCATTTCTGGACGAGGTAACAAACAGGTTGGACGCAGGGAATCGAGTCGAAGTGTGCTACCTCGATTTCAGGAAAGCCCTCGACTCGGTCAACCACAGATTCCTCCTGCGCAAACTGAAAGCCCTACGCGTAGACCAGCAGTTAGTGAAGTGGATCAACGCGTATCCGCACGGAAGGACGTTCCGTGTAAGGGTCAAACAGGAAACCTCGGGGACGGCAGCAGTCTGTAGTGGGGTACCTCAAGGTTCAGTCCTTGGTCCTATACTATTTGTGCTGTATGTAAATGACGTCAGTGAGGTCTTCCGGTGCCCTGGGTTCCTATTCGCATATGACCTAAAAGTAATAGGGAATCCCTCATCGGGGGATTTACAGAATGCACTCAACGTAACTGATGACTGGGCGGCCTCATGGGAACTACTTCTCAGCGGCAGCCAGTGCAGGAACCTGCTGCTAAATAGAGGGTCCGCGGAGGTGCAAAAACTAGGCGCTGGTTCGATGAACACCATAGTACCTGCAGATGTAGTCAAGGATCTAGGGGTGCAGATACACTCCTCCTTTAAGCCCTCAATACAATGCGCGGCAGCCGCAGCGAAGGCCAATAGAGCCCTATTTCAACTCTGCAGAACGGTTATATCGAGGGAGGCTTCGGTAATCTTGCCATTGTATAAAGCGTTTGTGCGGCCACATCTGGAGTACTGTGCCCAGGCGTGGGCCCCTCCCCTAGTAAGGGATAAACAACTACTTGAGGCAGTACAAAGAAGGTTCACCCGGATGATCGGTGGGCTGCAGGGAAAGTCCTACAAAGAAAGACTGGCGGCCCTTAACTTATTCTCACTGCATCGCCATCGCCTGAGGGGGACTTGATTGAGACGTTCAAACAGCTCAAAGGACTGTCAGTAACAAATAGATTATTGTTTACACGAAACCTCAACCCAACCTTCAAAGGGCATGCTCTGAAGTTGATGAAACCACGGGCCAACGGAAGTGCCAAGACAGTTTTTCTCCCACCACGTGGTAAACGCAGTAGTGGCAGCATCTTGTGTTCTGCAATTCAAGCGGATACTAGACAACTGCTGGGACGAGGTGTTTCCAGAGTGTGACTATTACAAGTCTCAGTCACTACCCACATCCTACTTTTGTAGCCGTTGCATATTTCTACCATCACTCCTTTGCATCACACACCTCACGCACAATTAACACAAAAATGTTTTTTTCTGTCATCAGCCCCCGGGAAGCTCTCATGGCAGGAGTAGCGGTCCGCCGCCTGTCAAATGATTGAAACTTCTGTTACCCCGAGGGTGATCCTGCTTTTCATCTCTTCCCTTGTAGGTACAACACCCATCACAACTGTGGAACTACCTGGCAGTCGCAGCACAGTGGGAATCACCAACTCACAAGTGCAAGAACCTGGACGTCCACTGGCCAAAGCCTAAAGTCCTGTAACCTGACTTGACTTAACTAACCCGACCTGACCTGGCCTGAACTGAACTGAACTGAGCTGAACTGAACTTACAGACCTTGGGACTAGAAAATGTGCGCGATAACCAATAATAAGCTATTTGAGATAGAACTGCAGGTGTCGTAAATCATCAGTTCAATTTAGTTCTCACGGGGCGATTTGTGGCTCTTGCCAATCCAGCGCCCACATTCGAGTGTTGTTACCGAGTTTCTTTGGCTTCCACCATTTCAATGTGGAATTTTTCTGAAAGGCAAAATTCTGCCTTTATTAGTTATTGACTTAATTATTAATTATTATTTATTATTAATAGTGTGGTGCAGTATCGCATCCTTTGTGCATGCACCTGAGTAATCAATTCCTGACCTTCTGTTGCATTCGTCTGCGGAGCCCGGTAGACGCACATGATGGCTAACCTGTTTCTGCCCATTCGAACTACACAACTGATGGCTTATATTTTGGGAGTCGCATGCATGTTCAATGGATTTTCATATGTACAACTGCGGCCTTCAGGAAAAACATTTCTGCCCTCAAAGCATTTCACACGCATACCAGGACGGTGAAAGCTTCCACCGTTCTCCGATATAAACCACCCTATCTTTGTAAGGAAGTTTAGGTAAAACGCACAAATTATTAAACGTTTGAATAAATCCACTGCAAATTTTAAACCACGTATGCATTCCAATTATACCAATATTTAATGGATTTTACTTTTTTTACAGAATAATCACAATCTAACCTGAAATAGAAAGTAAGAGGGGATGACTATCATCCTGGTGTGCCTTTTATTCACCATGGTACACTCATCTATGTCTGAAGGTGGGCACTCAACAGCAACGGGGTAATGCTTCGGGCATTACACTCGAGGATCCTTCGGAAATGAGTTCCCGATGCAGCAGGCATGCTCAAGCAGACACTCATGCTGTGGTAAACCAAAGTTTCATTACGCCTGTTCGCCGAGCTTGGCAATTTATTTGCAAACGTTTCATCACCAGCCGAGGTGACATCATCAGTGCATAGCCGAACAGATACGAATCCCTAAGTAAAAACATAATTGATTCGCAATGTTCTACGGTACTGAATTAACGAAATCATTACAAATGTACAATAAAGCAAACCTCAAATATACAAAATTGATTCGCAATGTTCTACGGTACTGAATTAACGAAATCATTACAAATGTACAATAAAGCAAACCTCAAATATGCGGCCGAGAGCACTCAAGCAAGCCAGCTAAATAACATGTCCGGAGAGAGGCAAACAGTCGCAAAATTCAAATGTGCCGGGCATCGAATTAACAGATAAATAATGATGTATGGTGTTTGTGATCGAGAAATGCGAATATAGGAGCAACACACAGATAAAGTTATTTCACCATAAATCATAATGGGTTCGGAAGGATTTCCCAAACATTCAGCATGAAATACACCGGCCGCCAAAGGAAGCAAACCCCCGAGTTAACCCTGGTAACCCGTATCGTAGTGCCATCCATCGTTCTTCGACTGATGGCTCAAGTGAATCAGAAACCCCCTTATGTTCTCGGCGGCTGTCTTTAGTTGTTGTAACTCCCGAATAGATCAACGAGCAACGCGTAGCCGAAATTGGATCCCAAAGCGTCAACAAAACGAACGATCCGGCAAATTTCTACGGTACTGCATTAATAAGCGATCAAATAAGCAAATAAAAACTGTACAAACCTCAAAATGATCTCGAAACAACTTGAAAACAAGTGCCAAGTGTTTCTGTGAGCGTAATTCAACAAATCTGAATGGAAGAAAATGAGCCTGGGTAAGAATAGCACGCTCACCGTCACGCTGAACACGAACGAGCCAAATGTGAGCGCTCAAGTTGCGATTAAAACAAGTAGGGTAAAAATTGAAGCAGATAAACAAACAAAGTCAAATGGTAGGATTGATGTGTAAATACACAAGGGAAGAGGAACGTCAAATGTCTATATGTATATGAGGCGGATGATGTTTGGTGAATGGAACGTAAAATTCACGAAATGTGGAACCGAGATGGAATGACTGAGCTTTAAAGGAAGGATTTTCACAGATCGATCAATACAGTTGCTCCTCGTTTATCTTGGCGTAGTTTTCTGCTAGCTTAACATTCGGCCTATCGTGTCTGGAAACCAACTTTAGTCGCAGTACCCATGATCACTGTTCCCTAACAGTTCTTCTGTCACAAGCGGAGTGAGGTCTCTTCGGCACCTAGTTATAACTAAGTCTAGGGTTGACGGACGATGGCCACCTCTGAATCATGTGGGCACCTTGGCGTGCTGAGTTAGCCCATGTTGGTGCAACCGTTTCAAGTGTTCGTCACCAGCGGTGCCCCTCGGTGCGCTTTCGTTGTCCCAGTCTATTTCTGGAAGATTGAAGTCGTCCATTGTGAGGAATCGCGATGATTCCCTCACTATGTTACTTAGGAGTGCCACTAATGCCGAATCCCTCTGCCCTATTAGTTTACGGCGCCCTGTAAACACAGAGCACTTCCACCAGTCTACCTTCCAGACGGACATAACAGGCCTGTATGGCCTGTATGTTCGGTGTGGCTAAGGTAAGCGGAACCTCCCACTGGCAGCATTCTGCGCTTACGAGTAGTAGTACCCCGCCACCGAGCCTACCGTCTATTCTGTCCTGCCTATACCGGATATAAATGTCGGGGACGGTAACCGCCTGGTCCTCCCTCAACCACATCTCAGTGATGCCAATAATAGCGCTTTTGTGGGTTTTCGACAGTTGTTCACCCCATTTACCTCCCAAGCTGCAGGCGTTTGTATACCACACATCATCGACATCGACCTGAATTAAAGGTTCCTTGGAACCTTTACTTCTTGGACCCTAGGGGGGAGTATCCCAGGGTGTATTACGTTTTTCACTTTGCCATTTTCCAATCTTGTGGGTTCCTGGACCTGCCATGAGATACCGCTTTTGTTCATGGAGATAGTCCCGAAGTACAATTCGAGTGCTGAATTATCCCCTCTGATTGGTTTCCTAGTCGCGACATATAGGGTCGGAATCCTATAGCTCACATTTTTGCAGGCGGCGTGTGAGCCACAACGATTGCCCAGTTTACCCGGTTCTCATGATCACTACTACTGCACCTTTGATCACTTGGGGTTGGTTAGGCTCGATGTACTCGAACCTTGGCCCCGGTAAGCGCGCAGCATCCAAACGCGGCTTGATTCAAAATGTTCAAGGTCATTTGATCGA